AACCTGAAGCCTCATCATTGAAATTTCATTGGACTAGAGACAGTCATTGCCAGGTCTTGAAATGAGAGAGGTTAGGCTCCAGTAACAATGTAAAACCAATTTCAGAGAGGCGCACAAAGGCAGATAAAGGTAATAGCAGGCACCCCAAGGTGTCCTAAACAAAACCTGTAAATACAGAAGTTTGACTTATTGAAGTCTGCCTCTTGTCCCTATGTCCCCACCACTGCCATGTTCTCCCTCTCTCCCTGGGTCTGAGAAATTCAGCAATCTGTCATCCCATTTCTTTGTACTTCCCATGCCTGAGAACGGGAGTTACAGTGTCCCAGCACCCACCTCTTACTCCTGGCAGTCAGCGTACAATCAGAAAACTGTTAGCAGAAAGAAAAAGCCGTTCTGCCATAAAACTCTACTTAAAGGAGAACTATGAGGTGAGTGCTTTTCACTCACCTCATAGTTCTAGCCGACCTGTGACAATGAGACTGTCACAGGTCGGCTCAGTAGATCGGGAGGTGAGCGAACACATACCGGCGTTCGCTCACCTCTCGATCCTGTCACGGCTCTCTGCCGTGACAGGGGAGGGGCTGGATTCCCCCCTCCCCACCCCGATCTGCCAGCGCTGACTGGCGGAAGGGGCGGGGGCGGGTACAGCTGGCTCTGTCTCTAGATAGTCACGCAGCTGGGTGGATCCCAGCACAATTGTCGGGATTCGCTTCAGCTGCGGCGTCTCAGTATACCGCGAGCTACAGCTCGCGGTATACTGAGCCTAGGTTATCTGGAGGACGCTAGTTTGTGTCCTCCCGTTACCCTAAGGAGAACTATGGGGAAAAGCCTTAACCCCATAGTTCTTTAACAATTTTCTATACTTTAAAGTAATAATAAACTCTCAAACGTTTTTTTCAATAATGGATCCAGATCAAACAAATATACATTACCCAGCAAAGTATTTCTTTACATTTTTGAGCAAGCACAGTCATCATGTTTGTCTCTCGGTTCCGTTTCCCTGAACTTCCTGTCCAGTACAAGATCACAAGGGAGAGAGCAGTCTCCAGCAGCTGTCCATCTACTAGCCTAAAAAAGGGTGGAGGAAGGAGCAGGAGAGTGGTTTGCCTGTGTGTTTATGGAGACACAGCTTATTGGCACACACAAGGGTGGCTCCATAGGTTTTTGCAAGGTAAGGAGCCACAGTAAGGCCCCTTTTCACAGGGCGCCTTCATTTCTAATCAGGGGATCCGTGCACGGGATCCCCTGCTGATCGGAATGGACGTCACTATTGTGATATGCGTCACCATTGTGACATCTGAAATTACCGGACCTATGTTGATCTATGGGGAGTCGGATGTACATGGACATGTGTCTGTTTACATCAGATTACCCCTGATCCAGCACGATCAGGTCTGGGGGGAATCTGAGGTAATCAGATGTAAACGGACACACTTTTGTTTAGATCAGGCTGCCCATAGACTAACATTGGGCTTTTGATCAGATCCGTCAGAAAAACTGACCTGCAGACCTGATTGGAATGCCAGCGTGAATGGGGCCTTCAACAGGATATCGGAACCAGTGCTCGGGGAACCACCTGATTCTGCAGGAATCTAAAAATTGTAGGGCCCTGTCACACCATATCCAGTGCGTTCCGGCGCAGTCGAGATTGGAACAGGTTCTTGCAAGAAGAGCACTAGTCAAGATAGAATTGTCAGTAAACATTCATAATATCAGGTTTGAATTGTATTGTAACTGTAATGTCTATTGTAAAGCGCTGCGCAAATTGTTGGCACTATATAAATCCTGTATAATAATAATAGTGACCATACAGTACATGTGCTGAACTTTACTAATCACTTCCTAACAGGTATACAGGCTTCTTATGGGGGAGTACTAGTGTTGGATTGAACTGCATTGTGTGTGGAGGCTAGGTTTGTTGTCCAGTCCACACAGAAGAATGTCATTGTTGAAAACCAGCCAAGGGATGCTCCGATACCGGTATCAGTGGCGATACTCGGCATTTTCACGAGTACTCATACTCCGATACCAAATGCCGTTATCAGCGTCTAAAATGTTTAACCTGAAGCCGGTGCTGTAAACAAGCGATGTGGTTCACAGGAATGCTGCCGAGCTCCCCAGCAAGCTCCTTGATGTTGAGCCTGATGAAGGGACCCTGGAAGGTCCCGAAAGCGCTTCCTTTAATTGAACAGATTGTCAATTGAAAAAGAACAATTGATGATCCTAAAAGGATTTTCAGTGTGCTGGTGACATTCTTCTCTACCAAACTTATGTGATAGCGGCGCCATCCGCAGTCATTTCCGCCCCCATCTCTATCATTGGGATTTCCGGTAAGGAGTGCCAAAAGCTCTTCTCTACTTCCTGTGACCCGCGGCGCATGTTTACAGTGCCAGCAGCAAATCTCCTTCCTGAAACCCTGTCGCTTGCACCCACCCGCGAGAGCAACCAGACTCCTGGTGAGAGCCTGCAGAGCTCACCATAGACCCTACACAGCCCACCTGAGGGCCCGCACAGCCTCCTGAAACCCTGCATTGTCTCCACTAGAGACATCAGCCTGGCACCCTGGAGCAGCAGTATGTAGCTTTATATTATTCTGCATTAATGTATAATGTATTGCTGGGATTTGTGTTCCTCTATTCTGCATTGCTGTATAATGTATTGCTGAGATTTGTAGTCCCTCTACACCTTGGAGTCAGTCGTAGAACTACCAGGGGTGCAGCGTTTGCAGCTAGGACCGGGCCCTGGAACTTCACCACTGTCCTAAAATCTTTAGTCTGTATTGTTTTAGAAAAACTGTCACATGACACAAAAAAAAAAAAGGTATCGGTAATTGGTATCGGCGAGTACTCGATGTAGAAAAAAGGGTATCGGTGCATCCCTAAACCACTGTAATACTTTGCGGGGTTGAGTCCAAAAACAAAAAGCAGACATGGTTTATTAAAAACTGTTCTTTTGAGAGGAGTGTCTTTTTTTTAACCTAGATTTCTATGCTGTGCTTGTCTCCTGACTAAATGGATGGGTTCCAGAGATATCAGGCCTTGGGAATACACCTAGTACCGTTCGTGTGTACTTGCCTCCTTCACACTCTTGCTGCAATGGCTAGGACATGATAAACAGAGTAGTTACTTAGGTGCAGTAACTGAACACAGAGACTGCTTGGTAACCTGCACCTTGGAAACATAAAAGACATAATTCACATTTTTTTTGTGGCTCCCACATAGTGTTATTTACAGGCCTGAGGCTGCTGTGACTGGGACAGTATTTACTCATTAGTTGACAAGATGTCCCATTCATGCCGCTATCAGGATCACACTGAATAGCTGGCGGCACTTTTAGCAGGTGACTCTAACAAACCTCGTGACATGTTGCTTACAGTAACAGCTGTACTTGTTAAATAAAAAGACCTCGGAGACTTTGGTGTGTTTTTTACACCTCAAGCAAAACTGCATTCACGGAAAAAGATATGGTACATAAGGTATAGAACCTGCTGGTAGTTCTCAGCTTGAGGACTTCAGTGGTGGAAACACTCTTCACCAATCCAACACTAATGTTTAACGTGACACTAAACTCAGGAGTTAAATCCTAAAAATCCATTCAAGTACCTTTAACTATTAACAAAAATGTATCTTATTTGTGTATCACTCGGCTGTAGATCCTCAAATCATCTCACACATCAGTGTCTGACACCGTCCATGGTTTTTTGGGAAACGGTGGGCTTAAAAGAAGAAGGCACATAAAGACTCCACTGTTGAAAATAACCTAAAAAAACAGACTGAAATGTGCTAAAATGCAGTTTGATAAGCCACAATGTTGTTAGGAAAAAATTTACTTTGGAAAGATGAGGCAAAACTGGAGCTTTTTGGCGAGTTACATCAACTCTATGTTCACAGATGGAAAAAAGGCGCAACTTTCAAAGAAAACAACACCATACTTACTATGAAACATGGAGGAGCCTTGGTTATGTTTTGGGACTGCTTAGTGTGTGGCATGAGGTGCTTTGAATTTGTGCAGATGTCGAAATACCTGTAGCACACCTTACCGGACTTCCCATAGGAAAAAGTGGATGCTCGCAATGACTGCGGATGGCGCCGCATCAAGCAAAGATTTGAGTAAAGAGATGTCACCAGCACACCAGTATGACAGACAAGTCAAAGTTCAGTGACTTTAACAGGACAGGTTCCACTCAGAACAGGCCTCGCCATGGCCGACCAAGGAAGTTGAGTGCACGTGCTCAGCGTCATATCCAGGATTGCCTTTGGGAAATAGACGTATGAGTGCTGCCAGCATTGCTGCAGAGGTTGAAGGGGTGGGGGGTCAGCCTGTCAGTGCTCAGACCATACGCCGCACACTGCATCAAATTGGTCTGTACGGCTGTCGTCCCAGAAGGAAGCCTCTTCTAAAGATGATGCACAAGAAAGCCCGCAAACAGTTTGCTGAAGACAAGCAGACTAAGGATATGGATTACTGGAACCATGTCCTGTGGTCTGATGAGACCAAGATAAACTTATTTGGTTCAGATAGTGTCAAGCTAGTGTGGCAGAACTAGCTGAGGAGTACACAGACAAGTGTGTCTTGCCTACAGTCAAGCATGGTGGTGGGAGTGTCATGGTCTGGGGCTGCATGAGTGGTGCCGGCACTGGGGAGCTACAGTTCATTGAGGGAACCATGAATGCCAACATATACTGTGACATACTGAAGCAGAGCATAATCCCCTCCCTGCGAAGACTGGGCCGCAGGGCAGTATTCCAACTTAATGACCCCAAACACACCTCCAAGACGACCACTGCCTTGCTAAAGAAGCTAAGGATAAAGGTAATGGACTGGCCAAGCATGTCTCCAGACCTAAACCCTATTGAGCATCTGTGGGGCATCCTCAAACGGAAGGTGGAGGAGAGCAAGGTCTCTAACATCCACCAGCTCCGTGATGTCGTCATGGAGGAGTGGAAGAGGACTCCAGTGGCAACCTGTGAAGCTCTGGTGAACACCATGCCCAAGAGGGTTAAGGCAGTGCTGGAAAATAATGGTGGCCACACAAAATATTGACACTTTGGGCCCAATTTCGACATTTTCACTTTTAAACTATAAAGGAATTCTGGAGCAAAACATACTCCCCAGTGTCAGAAAGCTCTGTCTCAGTCGCAGGTAATAGGTCCTCCAACAGGATAATGACCTACACCACACAGCTAAAAGCACCCAAGAACAGCTAAGTACAAAACACTTGAATGTTCGGAAGTAGCCCTGATCCATATCCTACTAAACATCTATGGAAAGAGCGGAAACATTCGTTTTGGAGAAAGCTTGCTTAAGAAGAGTGGGTCTAACTACCTGTTGGCAGGTTCCGAAGCCTCACTGAGAGCTACTGAGGGCGTGGCGGGCCATTCAAGTGAATGTCGCCGTAGCCGCACTCTCCGGCCGCAATGCGATCCGCCTCATGGGATCGCAAGGCACATTGTGCCTGCGGTCCGGCCCTGTGCGATGCGATCAAAATAGTGCTTGTAGCATTTTGATCGCACCACACAGGTTCGGACCGCAGGCACAAGGCCCGTGCGGCGGATCGCATTGCCGCCAGAGGGCGTGGCTACAGCGCCATTCACTTGAATGGCCCGCCATGCCCCCTCCTACCCCACTAAAAAGTGAGCCGGCCGCAATGCGAGGCAGCCAAAATTGGGCCGGAACGTGCTGCATCTAGTGTGACTGAGCCCTTAAGGTTGTGAAACAAAATATCAGGTTAAGTGTTTCATCAATTTTGGCCATGCCATTTCCGTTGTTCAAGTTATTAAAAATATTATGTTTAATCAAAACTCAAAAGCAAAAGTAAAAAATGGTGGGTGGTTCCTTTTTCAAGCACAGGGTACCAACAAATTTGTCCACGACTGTAACTAATCCTTAACAATTTTGTGGACGCACACTGCAACACACATTAGCATTTTGTCCTGTGTTGACACATGTCCATTGGCAAGGTGCAGTGGATTCCATTCAATCACGCCAGCACATGTAATGTGCCTTGCAGTAATACAATGCAATAATGTGAACTGTCCATAATACCTAAAATGTATCTGTACTTTGCACATGAATCTGGTGTCAACCTCGCCTTTCTTTCACTCTCCTGCTGAACCCAAGAAAGGAAGCCTTCCCCACCCCATGTGACAGTGCTAGGTGCCTGATGGCCAATCATCAAGCCCCAGCACTGTGATGTGGGCATAAATCAAATGCTTCCCATACCCAGAAGTATCAGGTATCTTTTCACTCCCAACTGCCGAAAGAAGCCGTGGAGGAATGAAAGTAAGGTAAGTATATGCAATGTTGGGGGTCAGCAGTTATGGGCAAAGTGCATGCTAATTTTAAGCTATCACTTAACCATAACATTTAGCCTGAACCCCTTAACCTAGTCCCAACCTAGTTCCTAACAGTATTAAATCCCCTTCCTGAAATCCACCTTATTGGGCACAGTAACTATCAGCAATAAAACAACACAATATAGCCTAAACATATGTGGGCACCTTTTCAAATGATTGAGTTCAGGTGCACAAAGACAGTCCATAAAGACATGGTGTGATGAGTTTGGTGTGGAGGAACGCAAGTGGCCTGACCTTAAAGGGGTTCTAAACCCTCCGTTTTTTCCCCTAGCTAGCAAGCTAGCAAGCAGTAGATATAGGCAAGAAGTAAAAACAAAAAAAAACCCGCTTTAACTAGGTTTAAACTGCGTTATCGCTGAGCATTCCCGCGCCGAGAATCAGGAACTGCTCGTACGGCCGCAAAGCATCTTGGGGCGGGCGCATGTGCAGTTCGGATTCTCGGCCGGGAGACGAGCAGAGACGCAAGGTAAGTCAGCGCTGGATCGGAGAGCCGCCGCACCGCTCGAGGGACAGATGAAAACATCAGGAAAGAAGAAGATCGGAATAAGAGACATCATTTTAGGCAAGTGCTAACATTAACATGAGGGGGGGGGGGGGGATTTTTTTTTTAACTTTAATTTTCATTTAACCTCACTTCCAA